GCATTCATCTCATCCCAGCATGTTCATCGGATATGTGCATTCTAAACCATGCCACAACCAACTCCCAGTATTCCCACGTTCCACCCCCACCCAAAAACCCCAACCAAGAAAAATATGAATATATTTTTCCTTAATAACATGCATCCAATCTCAAATTTACTTCAAATATAAAATTTTTAATAATTTTCCTCGACATTTTTTTCCACAATAAGGTACTCCTCTACCTTCTTTTAGCCCTTGTTTGAACCACATTATTTCCGAAAGAATGCAGTTTTGAATAGTGTATTGATGGGAAGTGTGATTAAAAAATAAGGAAAAGTTTTGAATTTACGTGTAATATTATTTTATTGAAGAATGTGTAATTGAAATGATATCAAATCACCGTTTAAGAATATATTTTTCCTTGAAAGAATGTGGGTCAAACAGGGATTATTCGTCCATTTTCACCTCTCTTTTGACTTTTGCCCGAAACAGCACTTGATAACACAGATGACACCATACAATTCAATGCTTCCTATTTTGTTAAGCACAAACCTCAAAAATATATTGAAGATCGTATCATATCACTGCCTATGCTTTAAAGGGAACCAAATACTAGAACACAAAAGTCGCCCTACCTGAAATACTTAATCCAGCTAAATCAGGCACATGGGCAATATGCATGCACTTTATGGGTTCACATGAGATTGAGATACATTATGATGATAATAAGGTCCAAGGTAAAATTGCAATCTTTGTCAAATAATCATCTCCTTAGGGAGCACACTGCTCCATCTCATTGTAATATGCTCTTAAGTGACATTTTGGGAAGCTATCCCCATTCAGATGAGTTTTCTGTTTGAGTCACTCACTCTCATCCTCGCTGCTCCTGTTCTCTCCCACTCCATGTGCTTTAGACTGTAATTGGTCAGCAACTTAGATTGGACATTGTTTGATGCCATGTCATTAAAGAGCACAAGTAGATTAGTCTTTGACTGGGATGAGCTATGGCAGGAAGTAGAAGTATACACGGGATTATTGATGCTCACTGGCGACATTCTTCAAAATGAAGAACTAACAATAAGTTAAGCCTTTTTCTACCAGTAATAACAATAAAATTTTGATTTAAAGATATAAATGGGTTAGTAATTAAACACTACCAGCTCTGCAGAAAAGTAAAGTTCAAGATAACCATGTCATAGGTCGATGGCCCCGTGGCTTCTTATGTTAGCTCGTCATGTACTTACAAGTGCCAACGCTTCACCGGGTTGTATTAATATTTTTATGTCACAGTACACCAGATGAAAATATTTAGATCATTGCTAAACTAACTTAAATTGTCATTTAACAGGTCAAATTTGTAAAAACAAAATACAGGTATTATGTCTTTAAAATTTCCAGATAATATCTACAAATGTGCAAGGAAATTTTTTTTAAATTTAAGCCCGCCCTTGGTCCCCTATAATTTTCAAGATACATTTTTCTTTCTTATTTTCAACCACACATTCTTAAATAAAATAATATTACACGCAAATCCAAAACCTATCCTTATTTTTTAATCACACATTCTCCATCAAAATCTTATTCCAAATGCATTTTGGACAAAAAAATAGGGCTCAAACAGACTCTAAATATTCAACTTTAACTTATTCAGTTTCAGTTGTATCTAGACATATATTCAGGAAGCCTACCAAAACTTACATTCTACTATCAGACAATCATATCAATTGAAGAATCAATAATATAGTGTGCATGGTCAAATAGCTGCAGCTCCTTTCCTCACACCACTGCAACAAAGCTATGCAGCAAAACTGGAAAAAGGAGAGGGGACTGAAATCCGTACAACTCATAAAGATCAAACGTGCTGACATAAAGTGTAACACGTATAATTATTGACCACAGAAAGGTATGCACTACAGATTATCGATGTGTTCTAACTTCTAATTGGTAACACAAGATAAAGCTTATTTGCATGAGAATAAGGTACACTGTAGTTTATGCTCAATATAACTGAATTACCATGAACATCTTACAGTATGTTCCCCCATCACATAATTTCTTCACCCCTTCCACACCAACATCACAAGACTAAAAGCACATTGCATGAGAGGAAGAACTTGCAAAATTATTCAATTTAAGCACTCGACGATAAAATTAACACGTGCCTAAGCAAGAGAAAGTAACCAATGAATCTAAAACATGAACTTACCTTCTTTCTGCAGAACTTAAACAGCGGGTTCAAGTACCGGGCACACTGTTTAAAAGTGGCAACCATTGATTTTCCTTTGGCAGTTCTCTTCTCTGCCTCGCTCATCTCATTTAACTCCTGATTCCACTCATTCAACAACTTCTTGAAAAAAACCAAAATCTTATCCTCGTCACACAACTCCTCGAAGTTCGCTTTCATTCGCTTGATATCCTTGTCGTGATCCACACCAGAAGACGCCCCATCACCACTCAAATCCTCATCACCACCCCCTCCATCTTTATCCTCCCCTCCATCCTCAGTGGCCTTCCTCTTCCTATCACTCAAAATCCCCGACTTCTGCCGCTTCTTCAGCTCCACGATGTCACGAAGAAAATCATTCGTCTGTCCCTCCGTCATATCGGTATCATCGACTTCAAACAACCCAGCTTTCAAAATATATTTAAGCCTATCAAGCCTCGCCACATCATCTTCTCCAAAAAGCGTGACAGGCTGTTTTAACAAACGGAGACGACGAATTACCTCTTGCCTCGGGAGATTCAGCTCGTCGATCTTTTCCTCGTCTGTTAGGGTTTTAGAGGCGGCGGAGGAGGATTCAGATTTGAATTTGGCAGTTTCGGATTTGGAGTTTGAGCTCGATGGGGAATTGGCATTCCGGTTGCTTTGTTTCTGTTCCAATTCCTTTTGTTTAAGGGCTTTGGCCTCGGCTTCTCGTTTCTCCTCCTCCCGCAGACGTTGGAGGCGTTTCTGCTCGATTTCAGAGCGTTTGAAGAATTTCTTCCCGCCGACGTCCTCCGCCAGGCTCTGCCGTTTCTTCAGCAACTCTTGTTTAAGAATATCCATGGTTTGGATTTGATCTCGCTAGGGTATTCCTTTTTCCGCCACCGCTGGAATCAAATACAATTGTGCAAATTTAAAAATATATATAGTCAAATCTTTTGCAATTTTATTTTAATTTTTATAAAAGTTGTAAAAATCTCCCTTCTTTTCAACCACACATTCTTTATTAAAATAATATTACATATAAATAAATAAAAATTTCTTATTTTTTAACCACACACTTTCCATCAAATTACTATTCTAAAATACATTTTTACATAAAAATAATTTTCAAACACCCCTAAAATTTATAATTTTTTAGAATCCATCAAAAAATCATAGTTGGGACATCCTCGAAATTTGTTTATTGGTAGAAAATTGCCGTAGAGCTGTGGGAAAGAGATAACTTACTCACTAAAGTTTATGAAATGACTCAATTTGGTCCTTGAATAATATTTTTGACCATTAACTTGCTAACACATTGTTCGGTACAAACTTTGTTAGAGTTTATCAACTTTTCAAGTAAAATATTAATTTTAATCATATATATTGTGGTGGTGATTAAATCAAATTTTAATCAAACGTTTATGAAATCAATTAAGGATCTATTTAGTAGTGATCATGAGAATTGATTTTTTGATCGTTAAAGAAAAAAATGAGTCTCATTTGTGAATGAAGAAGTAAAAAAATTGAAATAGTGAAATAATAATAAAAAAATTGATTTTTTAGAATGAAAAATTACTACTAAACGGGAGCTAAAATTTTTATTAAGAGTTTCTCACACAATTACTAAAGATAATTAGCAGTCATGAATATGAATTCCATTAAACACAAACAATAGTTTGAGTTACCCAATTAGAATTTCAGCAAAAACATGGATTTGTACATTAGAAGAATTGTTATTATGCAGAAAAGTAATAACTAAATGGATCGGTATTTGGTTTCAACTAGCGAGAAACCAAAGATTTGGTTTCGCTCACTCGTAGGGTTGACCAAATTGATTTTATTTTATTATTATTATTTTTTGCGCGTTGGGTGATATCCCAAACCCAAATCCCACCCTCACATCAGTTAAAGATTGAGTCGAGTTAATTTAGGTCGAATTGGCTCCCTTGATTTTTTTTTAAATGATAAAAAAAAAAATCAAATGGAGATTTCCCGATTAGGTCCATGCCAACCCGGAAAACTTACATGCCAAGCCACAAAATCGATCCAACCTACTCAAATTGATTCACAGTTTGATGGGTAAAATGTTCATTCATGATTGTCGACGAAATATCTATGATCTAGTTTCGTTGCAAAATTGGGCCAAATGTTTCGAAGTGGTGGTGAAGCGGGTGGTAGCGATTTAGATGGAGGTATATGGAGGATATAGGTGTCATAATGGATAGATCGGACAGAACCGTTAATTGAAATTTACTAAAAATTTAATTATAATTTATATAAAATAGGGACTAAATAGTAATAATATAAAAAATTAACTGGCTACCCATGGTGAGTTATATATAAAAGTTACGGGACCTTGGCTGAAAATTTGACTTTTTAAAGCTATTTTGCACCAAGCCCAAAACCTCTAAAAACCTCCTCAATTCACTTCAACCCCATTCTTCAACTCGCCGCCGCCGCCTCCAAAAATCCCACTCCTAATCGAGAGCTAACCCGCTAACGAAATTCGGAATATCGGATTTTCTACATTTTTTTTTTCCAGCCAAGCTATCTACGCTCGCTCAGGTAAGTAAATTCAATTATTTTTATGAGAACAGCATTTTTATGCGTTTCTTCACAGTGCACAATTTACTTTGCCTTTTCTTTTAAGTTTGCTAATATTACGAAAGAACTCAGAAAGTTTATGTGCTTAGCCTGTTTCTTTTATTTTTCTGGATTTTGACCTGTATCTTTCTGTCGATAGAGTATATATCAACAATGATAGCAGCTATATCTTGGGTTCCAAAAGGAGCCTCGAAGTCAATCCCTGCTGTTGCTGAACCTCCTTCTAAAGGAGACATTGAAGATATCTTGAAGAGTGGTGTCATGGAGAAACGGTAAAAATTTTAATCATCAACTTCTTTCGTTTTCTTGCATATTCAACTTGTGATTAATTTAAGTCTATTTGATGGATTGGGAAATCTTGGAGACTCGCCTGGTTGAACATTAACTACTGGATTTGAGTTGCATTTTTGTGTTGCACTTGGTAATGAAGGACTAAGCAGCTTGCATGCTTTTACATAATCAACATATTATCTGTAGTAGTAAGCTACAGATTAGGCCAATACCCAAATATCCTAGAGATTGAGCATCAATTTTTTGCCCTTTTTTGACGATCTCCACTCCCCATCATGTTCAATTCCTGTGCAAAACCACATCCTTCATATGGTTCCATTGTTGACATCTTGTCACACGTAAAAGAAAACTCAGGCCAGAGAAGGAATGGATAGTTATAGAAGTATACAATTGGCCCAATTGAATACAGTGCCACTTCTATTCTTATTTGAAATTTTTTGGAGTAATTATCTTATACTGTTTGCAGCGACGATAGTGAAAATCAGGAGACGGATGAAGATATGGATTCCAATGAGTCACAGCTAAATGATGAAGTGGCACATGCATTAGTTGCTGCTGATGCACTTGGCAAGGCTTCCAAGAGCACCAATCCAATAACTGACAGCATAACAGATGCCCTGAAGGACTTAGAAATGGATCGTTATGATGAGGAGGATGATGGTATCTTAATGGTCACCAAAATGTTATCATTTCATTTTCCCAACTTCATATTTTTGCCCATTCTATTTATTCTTATCAACATACCCCACTGGTCCTTTTGAATTAACACTGTTGATCTTTTTGGTCAATTTGGCTTTTTTTTTGAAGTAAAATGTGGTAATCTACATGTTTGATTAAAAACAAACCAGACATTTATAAAACTATTGAAAAATACTGCCATTAATAAATCTTGTAACCCTGAAAGGTTGTAATTAAATTAGTTATTGGTCTAAAAATGGTCAGAGAGACAGAAGATTTAAAAGTTGTCGATTAATAAAGGACAAAAAGGAACATGACGCTATTACACGCCTGGAGATGGAGCCCAAAGAGTTAAACTTCGCAGAAGATGTTTCCTTGTAAAGTGTCCTGCATGAACCACTTTCTGGTTATCTATGTTCTAGATTTATTCATTTAAGGAATGGAACTCTGTTGTTGACATCAGGTGTTGAGCTGTTTGGCTCTGGCCTTGGGAACTTGTATTACCCCAGCAATGATGTGGACCCATATTTGAAGGATAATAATGTACGTTCCTTGTTTCATATTGGGTTTGAATATATCAAAAAACTTCCATACCCGTTTTTTCTTCTCTTCACTGTTTTCCTGTCTTTTATTTATCTACATATGAGACTTATTTCTTTTAGGACGAGGATGATTCTGACGAGGAAGAGGATACAACCATTAAACCAGAGGATGCTGTCATAGTTTGTGCAAGGAATGAGGACGATGTCAGTCATCTCGAGGCACGTAATAGTTAGTTGGTGAACCAACTTCAAAACACGCACTTAAAATTTCCTCCTTTCCAAATTAGCTAATCAGTAATTGACGAGTTCAATCTCAAAAACAGGTTTGGATATTAGAAGATGCGAAAGATGGCGATTTGAATATGTATGTACACCATGATATCATCATCTCAGCATTTCCCTTGTGCACAGCATGGCTTGATTGTCCTCTTAAAGGTGGAGAAAAAGGTATGACACTTTGAACTTAAACCTTGACCCGTACAACACAATTTATATTTCTCTTTTCTTTTTGATAAATGTAGCTTTATGGCATGTGATTAGAGGGTTAATTATATTATTGGCCACTAAACTTGCCTTCGCTTTATTGGAATGTCAGTATAATACAATTTGCTTTTGTTTTTCCATTGTCACTGAACTATTAAAAGCGATACATTCATCATTTGAAGTGGATTCCATTAACGTGGCTGTTGACATGGCCAAATAGAAATCAAGCATGGCATGTCAGCACAATTAACTTTGTCCAACCACAAATTGTGTTCCCAAATAGCCACCAAACTTTTCCTCGTGTTACTGGATGGACATTAAACTTTTAAGTGTGTCTCCATTGGAACTTTTAAAAGTGTTTCCCATGGAATAATCAACCTAAAATTTTTCTGAACATGGACTTCCCTTTCCTTTGTCCGTTCATGTACAACTGGTAGATCTCTTCAAACTAATCGAGGTTTAGGTACAAATTGGAAGTTTTCTCCTCTTGTGATCGTGCTTGTGCCTATTGTTTAAAAACAATTACTAACCTTGGTGCATTACTTCTCATATGATACCTCTTAATGTGACCTACTAAACCGCAAACACTGTATGCTGTGGCTGCCTGAGAAACTCTCTTCACTTCAGATTTAGACTGAGAAGATTCCAACCTTCTTTAGGTACATACCAAGCTGGTGTTTTGATTGGGAGGGCATCAACCTCAGGGCAGAACTGTTTACTTTGATTGGATTTATAAAACTCTCATAACATTGAAAATAAGTCTCCACTTTATATAACTTACAGACATAGGTAACATGATACTTTTTGTGATAGAAAAATACATGTAAATTCCAATTGCTATAGTCCTGAATGCTTGGTTCATTTTAACTTTAGCCTTTTGCTCAACCTTTGTTACCATGACATTATAAACTTCAATCTACAAAAAGCACTAGTAAAGTGTTTCTCTTTAGCATGCTTTTTTGTTAGTGTGCCGTTCTGCTTTCAGGATAGAAATTATTGGTATCACCTTGTCAGTTTTAAGTTTGGCTGCTTTATTCTATTTAGATTAGTTTCTCACTTTCTCTTGCCTATGAAATTGAATTTTTTGTTTGCATTTCTCATCATATATTGTGTTAATTCACATGCGGGAATTAAATGCTTGAAATTGAATTTTTTGTTTGTATTTTTCATCCTACATCGTGTTAATTCACGTGCGGGAATAAAATGCCTGAAATACAATTTACAATGGTGGCTAAATCAAATATAATTAATTTCTGCTTTATCAATTTGGAGAAGTTGAGTACTGCTGTGGTTGCTTTTGATTGTATTTATCAAGCAGAGTTGATTTTTGAGGTTAAGCAAAATCATAGTAAGTTAGATGCCAACAGATGAGCATCAGACTTTATTTTATAGAGGGACCTTGGAATCTTCTCTTATTTTCGATATTGATAAGTTGAGATGTTTGTATATAATTCAAGGACATGGCACACACTTTGGAAAGTAGTTCTGTGCAGAATAGTTGTAATAAAACACATGGAGGGTACTTCAACTGTATTACTACAAAGTGTCCACTTTATCTTGGAAACCAATATCTAGCATTGGAACATAATTTTGTTTGTTTATTTGCTTTTTTGATTTAAATATCACATTTCTATTTTCAGTTGAAGTATAGTAAGATTTCTTCTTTATAGTTGTGGCTCGCACTCAGTCGCTGTCTTTTTCTTTAGTTTTCCCAATGAAATTAATTTGCATGTTAATAGGGAACTTTGTTGCTGTCGGCACCATGGATCCAGCTATCGAGATATGGGACCTGGACGTTGTATGTAGATTATGCCCTTCAAGTTTTGGATGATTTATTTCTTGGTCAAAATCTTTCCTGTCTGATCTCACCTTTTTCAATGTCTTCAGATGGATGAGATCCAACCATCTACTGCATTGGGTGGCGTTCTTGAGAAGAAGAAAAAGGGGAAGAAGGTTGGTTTGTTAATTTTTAACTTTTGCCTTAAACTTCCCCTTTAAATACTTAAATCATGTATTGGCGTACTCCAGTATTGCAGTGACTCATTATGGTTATGGATTTCCATTTCCATTTTTATACTTGTCCATGGCTGACACTATTTGTTTGCTGGAATTTTATTCACTATCTTAACTAATTGCTGGTTCAAAGTTCTTTTTTGGTATACATAAGTGTTACAATCCTGGGTTTTAGTTTATATTCCTGATGATATCTGACATTGAAATACAAGAGCTTACTTCTGAGGCTCTTTGTTCTGATCCTTGATATATGTAGCCCTTGTTTGAGCCCCTTTTTTTGAAAAAAATGCATTCTTGAATAGTGTTTTGACCATATTTTAACCACATGTTCTTTAATAAAATAATATTACACGCAAATCTAAAATTTTTCTTATTTTTTAACAACTCATTTTCCATCAATACACTATTCAAAAATGCATTTTTAAAACAAAAAAAGGGGCACAAACCAGCCCATAGGAATGCTTGCTGGGGCAACATTAGTTATTCATGTAGCTTAGAGTGTTAAAATCCGTATTGC